GAGCAGAGCAGTCAAATAGCAAGTAAATGTGGACCCAGCATTGGCTAAATGACATTTTCAGAAATAAAAGCCACAAGCTACCAAAATGCATATGTGTATATGCTGTTGCTTGTAGAGCTGCTTGTTGGCTAACAAACAGCTCTACATTAACTGATGCTTCACTGACAGAACCGAGCTAGCAAAATGTGTCTGGCCCACTTGTGTGCCGCATCCTTCGGTTTGATCTAGCCCAGTATATGGCTGGGTCCTCAGCCCAAATCTGGCTCACATGCTGTAAAGTGAGTAGAACTACTGGATGTGGCCCAAACTTGGCCCAATTACATGCCAGAATTGGCCTACAAATATAGATACAAGGCAAAACTGTATGCAGCTGTATGGCATCTGACCCTATTCTGGCCCACATGACTAAAATCGACCCAGTTGTCAACCAACACTCATATAAGAATCAGCCCAGAACTGCCTGCTGTCTGAGAGTTTAGAGGATAAAGACTCAAATCTGGGTGACTGAAGTTGGGTAACTAGTTGTTAGCCTGCTAGCTAAGCTAGGTGTTGGCAAACTAGCGATTATATCTGCATTCTCAGTGAATTTCTTTGATGAATTCCATTCATTTCTTAATTCTGAATGAAATATGAATGAATCCACAGCGGCAGATTTTACCAACTATTGATCTAAATTAATAAATTGATAGCTAAGTTAGCTAAATCCCAGCCGTCCTCGCTCAGTGTGCAGTGTTCATGCTGCGTCATAAAACTCATAAGACTCATAAAACTATTTCATATTCAGGTTAAATTAAATATACATACCGATCAGGCATAACGTTATGACCACCTCCTTGTTTCTACACTCATTGTCCATTTTATCAGCTCCACTTACTATATAGGTGCACTTTGTAGTTCTACAGTTACAGACTGTAGTCCATCTGTTTCTCTGATACTTGGTTAGCCCCCTTTTACCCTGTTCTTCAGTGGTCAGGACCCCCATGGACCCTCACAGAGCAGGTACTATTTGGATGGTGGATCATTCTCAGTACTGCAGTAACACTGACGTGGTGGTGATGTGTTAGTGTGTGTTGCGCTGGTACGAGTGGATCAGACACAGCAGTGCTGCTGGAGTTTTTAAACACCTCAGTGTCGCTGATTGACTGAGAATAGTCCACCAGCCAAAAATATCCAGCCAACAGCGTCCTGTGGGCAGCGTCCTGTGACCACTGATGAAGGACTAGAGGATGACAAACACAAACTGTGCAGCAGCAGATGAGCTATCGTCTCTGACTTTACATCTACAAGGTGGACTGACAAGGTAGGAGAGTCTAATAGAGTGGACAGTGAGTGGACACAGTGTTTAAAAACTCCAGCAGCACTGCTGCCAGTGTTACTGCAGCGCTGAGAATGATCCACCACCCAAATAGTAGCTGCTCTGTGAGGGTCCATGTGGGTCCTGACCACTGAAGAACAGAGTAAAAGGGGGCTAAATTCAACCCACATAATTTTTTTTTCTAATTATATGCAGTTGTTATAGCTCATTATTCGTATTACAGTAGTTTCAGAAACAGCCAGAAGCCTCTTGAGTTTGTAATTCAGTGTTAATATCTCAGTACTTTTCACCATGTTCATGTTCGGGATGGTTCACATGCACACACTGGCTCTGCTAATTTCTAGCACCTACTGTGCAACATTTGACCATTTGCCGTTTGTACTGCAGGATGTTTGAGGGTGTTTTGGTACAACTGCTTGGCTGGCAGCTGAAGAGAGCCGCACAGCCACGGTCGTGATAACAGGGACTGTTTGCCTTACGTAAACTGAAGTGGGCCTGCCATGATGGTATCAAGGGAAATCCATTCGAGAAGGCATAGGCAGGTGTCGAAACATGCGGCAGAGGAAAAATAGACAGAATGGGAGCTGGCAGAAAGGAGAGGAAGGTCTGGCTCCAGGCCAGCGGGGGGCTGCAGCGAGCCTTTCTGTGAGGTGAAATTTCAGCTGTTGCTTTTGTCACTCAAGCAGAATGACAGAATGCTCAGGTTCGGTACAGTCCGGTCCAAAACATGGTGATGGGAGGACAGACTGGAAAACTGTAGAAGAGCATCAAACTATGCAGACGAACCTCTGGAGTGGAGTATTTGTAAAATAGTAACAATACGTAGATTTTTTGTGAACAATATCTGGCCATTTTCCATCAGTATCCTCTTTTGTGAGTAGGAACACCAGCTAGCATCCTACTATCACCGCTCTGTGCACACAAACCAGTGCATTTCTATGGAATCATGGAATATGTTTAAGAGCCAGTCGGAACGACATGTCGGAATGAGCCAAAGTGCAGACCTACGCCATCTGCTGGTTGCATTCAAAACATTTGAATCACCATACATTTCGCCAAGTTGGCACATTAGTGAGGCAGTCATTCTAAAACACAATCCCTAGAATAAACTACAAAACCCATGACTTGTTTCCTGCACCGCTTCATGGGATGTATAATAGTGATGCCAGCTGCGTGACAGACTTTGTAGTCCATTTTAAAACTCATAAATCTGTATTTCTGTCAGTCCCACATCCAGCTATATCTGACACTACGTCAGTGTTCCAAACGATTCATTGACAGTAAAAGGCAGATAAACCCTTTGGTTAGCCTGCTGGCTGATATGCATATGGAAATATGCTAATAGCTCCATAAACCATTTGATGCAGTTTATTAGATAGATGAGCTGTTGGCCTGCTAGCTAAGCTAATGTGAGCATGGCAACAAGTTACCAGCTCCAGATAACCCTGCTGAAAAAACAGCTCAGACCAGCAAGCCTTTCATGCTGGTCTAAGATGGTCTATGCTAATCTATGCTGGTTTAGCTGGTCACCCCAGCATGGTCATGCTGGTTGACCAGCATACCAGCATCAAAATACAATGCCTATGGTGGGTTTTCTAGCAGGGCCATCTGAGCCTGCTAGCTAAGCTAGCACTAGCTGGGCAATATGCTAAGTCCACAAACCATATGAGACAGTTTATTGGATAGATGAGCTGTTGGTCTGCTAGTATGGTTGCCACTGCAGCCCTGTAAAATTCTTGGACACTCAATCAGTGTCTTGATTTTTTGCTAAATTCACTGGACGGGTAGCTCAGCTCACAGTGTAGCCTAAGCTACAGAACCTAATACTCTCAGTTATGGCGTTGAAGTGCTGCCTTGTTAAAAAGAAGCAGTTTAAACTTCTTAAGAAATGCTAACATAAGAAAGTGCCAGGATTGGATTTCATTTTTCCTGGACTGGGAACTGAAAACTTGGACAATCCAGGGAAATCTTAGCTAAGCTAGCACTAGTATGGCAAGAGGCTCCACACACCATATCTGGGCCCTGAGAGACGGCTGCAGGAGAGATGTTTCTCCGAGGACCCACAGGGGAGCGCCCCAGTGACAGTGACATCTCTTCTGGACCGCAGGAATGCCTGAAGTTACAGGTTTGTGGTGACCAAATATTAGGGACAGAAAGAAATGAAACAGCTGAACACATATTTCAATAGAACTGATAAAGCGGCTGACAACAGAAAGCCAAAAAAACTAGCCCAGCTTAGCTAGTCAGCGGTTAATGTGCTGCTCTTCTCTGTTAATCACTATTTCTCAGTGTTGTTGTTGCATTTATCTGTAAAAATTGTGATCTAATAAGATGAAAATCTTTAGATTTTTGTCTGAATGAACTTACTCACTCTGAACAAATCACAGTGGATCCAACAGCACAAGGAGCCTCGTGCATCTTTTATGCAGTGATAGGAAACAGGCGCTGTAACTCTTCTGGAGTAGAACGTTTTACTGCACGATGGCTCTGATTTTTACTGTAATATCACTGCGCTTACATTTACATTTACTGTATGTGTTTGGTGACTGTAGACTTTATCTAATATCTGCAGCTCGAACCCAACACAGGCTTCCTCACTCACACACACAAACTGAAAAGATGAGCTCAGCCTCCGCTGGAGAGACACCACAGAGAAGCTGACAGCTTTTTATCTAATTCATAGAGAAAATGATGGAGTGAGAGAGAAGAAAAATGACAAAAGGATAAGAAAGAAAGAAAGAAAGAAAGAAAGAAAGAAAGAAATAGAATAAGAAGGAAAGAGAAAGAGTAAGAGAATTAAAAGTGTGGGGAAAAAAAAAGGGAGAAAAAAGTGAAAAAGAAAGAAAGAAAGAAAGAACAAGAATAAGAAGGAAAGAGAAAGAGTAAGAGAATGAAGAATGTGGAAAAAAGAAAAAGTGAAAAAGAGAGGGAAAGAAAGAAAGAAAGAATAAAATGAGAAAAGGAGAGGGAAAGAAAGAAAGAAAGAAGAAAGAGAATAAAATGAGAAAGAAAGGAAGAACAAAAGAAAGAAAGAAAGAAAGAAAGAAAATGAGAAAATAAGAGGGAAAGAAAGAAAGAAAGAAAGAATGAAAGTAAAGAAAGAAAAAAGAAAATGAGAGGGAAAGAAAGAAAGAAAGAGTAAGAGAATGAAGAGTTTGGAAAAAAGAAACAGTGAAAAGGAGAGGGAAAGAAGAAATAAAGAAAGAAAGAAGGAAGAAAAGAAGAGAAGAGGAGAGGAAAGAGAGAGAGAGGAAAAGAAAGAGTGCCAGAGGAAGAGGAGATAAGAAAGATAGAAAAGTAGAAAGAAAGAAATGAGACAAAAAGAAAGAAAGAAAACAAAGGAGAGCGCAGGACAGAGAAAGACAGAACAAAAGAAATAGAGAAAAGGAGAGGGACAGAAAGAAAGAGAGAAAAGGGCAAAGAAAGATAAAAGAGAGAGAAAGAGAAAAGATGGGAGAAAGAAGGGAGAAAGTGAGAAAGGGACCTAGTAGAAAGAGAGAGAGAGAGAGAGAGAGTGAGAGAGATAGAGAGGGGGGGGTGCAAGAGAGAGAGGGGGGGTGAGAGACCTGTAGCTAGTGAGAGGCAGTAAGACTGAATGGTAAATGTTAGTGAAAGTGGGCGGAGCTTCTACAGAACAGACCAACCAAACGCATAAACACACACACATACACACACACGAGGACGCGTGGTGCGAACAGAACACACAGCCCCTCCAAAACACACACAGAGTGACTTAGATTCCTTCACACTCACCCGACTCCACTGGACACGCAAGAAGGACAGCAGGTCAGCGCAGGCCGGCGCGAATGGACAGAGCAGCATAAGGACACCAGCAGTTTCTCAGAGACTCAACAGACCAGGACGTTCAGACATGAGTGTGAGTGATGATCTTCATTCCTCCTCCGTTATTAATGAACTCATTTCAGAGTTTATTAAGAAATCATTTCAGAACATACTCAACTGTTCATACGGCTGGAACCACTTCATACCCATACAGTGTTCTGTACTGTACTCATGATGATGGTTCTTCAAGGGTTCTTTAGTAAAAATAAAATGGTCCTATATAGGACCATGAACACTCGTGATCAGAGGGGTCTTGCATGTCGAAATGGTTCTTCAGATTGATGGAGAATGTGTCTACGCTCCTATATAGAACCTTTTTTGAAGAAGGTACCATATAGCACCAAAAACGGTTCTACTAGTGATACGATGTGAAGCTCTGCAGCCCTTTTCAAAGGCTCTATATAGAACCTTTTTAAAACCTTTTTCAAAAAGGTTCTATATAGAACCATAAAAAACACATTCTCCATCAATCTGAAGAACCTTTTAACCATGCAAAGAACCCTTCATGCACACACATGGTTCTTTAAGTGTTTAGGATTCACAATAGAACCACTGTCTTTACTAAAGAACGCTTGAAGAGCCATCTTTTAAGGGTGTTCTAATTTTGATTTATTTTATTAGGGCATCTTTTTTGTCTTTTGGTGTTTTTGTTTATTTCATTGTCTTGTAGATAAAATATATATATATATATATATATATATTATATATATATATATATATATATATATATATATATATATAAAATATATATATATATAATTATTTTTATCAATATCCATTTTCCTACTATTATCTGAAAGCTGTTAAGCCATTTAGGATGAGCAGATTAGTATCATTACATTTATCTGGGTTAATATCACAGAAAATAGTGATTCTGAACATTTGAACTGGAGTCACTGGTCACTTTACAGGAGAAGGAAAAAAGACATCCTTAAATTTCTATGTAAATAATATAAAGACACTTACTAATAATTAATAATTATGTCAAAAATACTATTGGCAGGCCGGCCAGAAGGTCCAAAGTTTTATTACACACTTCTATAATGTAAGAATAAGTTTGCATTATCATCCATGTTGTTACATAATAATAATAATAATAATAATAATAATAATAATAATAATTATAAGAAGAAGAAGAAAAGGAATCCTGAGAATTAAAGAGGTTCCTTTACTTGGGCTTCAGCAAATCTGCAGAAACACCTGAACTGTATTCATATGTATTACTTTTTAAAATACAATATTTTAAAAATTAAAATACATTTAAAAATATTTTAAATTTAAAAACACTACTACTACTGTTATTAATAGTAGCAGTAATAGCAGCTGCAGTAGGAGTAACAGCAGCAGCAGCACTGGCAGCATCAATGTTAGTAGCAGTTGTAGTAGCAGTAGCAGCAGTAATGATAGCAGCAATAGCAGTAGATTTAGTAGAAGCAGTAGCAGTGGCAGTAGGAGTAGAATTAGCAGTAGTAGTAGCAGTAGCAGTAGCAGTAGTAGTCGCAGTAGCAGTAGTAGTAGCAGTAGTAGTCGCAGTAGCAGTAGTAGTAGCAGTAGCAGTAGCAGTAGTAGTAGCAGTAGCAGTAGTAGTCGCAGTAGTAGTAGCAGTGGCAGTAGATATACTAGCAGTAGCAGTAGCAGTAGATATACTAGCAGTAGTAGAAGTACTAGCAGTAGCAGTAGTAGTAGCAGTAGCAGTAGCAGTAGCAGTAGATATACTAGCAGTAGTAGAAGTACAAGCAGTAGCAGTAGCAATAGATATACTAGCAGTAGTAGTAGCAGTAGCAGTAGAAGTACTAGCAGTAGCAGTAGAAGTAGTAGCGGTAGTAGTAGCAGTAGAAGAAGTAGCAGTAGCAGTAGATGTAGTAGCAGTAGTAGTAGCAGAAGCAATAGCAGTAGGAGTAGCAGTAGAAGTAGAAGTAGAAGTAGTAGCAGTAGCAGTAGAAGTAGCGGCAGTAAGCGTAGAATTAGTACCAGTAGCAGTGGCATTAAGAGTGGAAGCAGTAGGAGCAGAAGTAGAAGCAGAAGTAGTAGCAGTAGCAGTATAAGTAGCGGCAGTAAGCGTAGAATTAGTACCAGTAGCAGTGGCATTAAGAGTGGAAGCAGTAGGAGTAGCAGTAGAAGTAGCAGCAGCATCAGTATCAGTATATCTGCTATTAAAATTGTATATGATTGAGTGAATTGTTTACAGCCTTTCTAAAGTCCAGGCTTTATGTCTTTATTAGCTTCACTCCCATTTAAATCTCTTCACAATCTCACTGGATCCCATGTCTCACATAACGAGCTCATATAACATGATAGCGAGTGCTTTAGGCTTGATGTCTAATTCGCCGGTCATGGAGTAGATGGCAAACGAACGATGGCAGAAGTATCTGTGATTCCTGCCGTGCCGACACGTGACGAAAGGTGCTACGCTTGCCTCACACAGGCCGCGGCGGAGCGGCTCATTTTGTATTGAGTTACAGGGACGAAAGCTGGCAAGGTCAGCATGTAACACTAGGACGGATGGAGGGAAACCAAAGTGGATGTGAAGGTGTGATCTGTAAGTGGGCCTAATTAGGCAGTGACAAAGTTTTCCTTGCTTTGGTGCTCTACTCCTGCACAATGGATTCCAAATTCAGCAATTAAGTTCAGAGTGCTAGCTTTAAAGGGGAACTCCACCAAATTTTCTTACACTTAAATCGTTAAGATGTACACAAAGTCACTGAGAGGGCTTTGCTGTGAAATGCTCTGTTCTAAGGAAACTCGGAATCGTTCACAGTGGTGGTGATGGGAACCAGACGTCTGAAGAGTTGAATGTCTCTAAAAGCTCCCTCGTAGAAAGCTATTACAAGAAATGGATATGAATATGTCGCCTCTGATGCCAAAGACATTCAGTGCGTTCATTCTGGAGGCAGCTGCCTTCACTGTAAAACTCACTGCACATCTTAATGAAAGAATTAAGTTAACACAGCTTAAATACTACAGAAAGTTGGAGTGACTTAATCTGGAAAATTCAAATTAACTCAAAAATGAACTGCTGAGATAGTAACTCAGTCATGTTAAGTAAAATTGCTTTTTCCGCATATTTTGAGTTGAGGTAACTTTATTTAAATGTGTTATATTTACTATTACTACTTTTTTTAAACTTGACTTTACATGCAAATACAAACAGGCCAGTAATGGGTTGTTTTTTTTTAAGCCTGCTGAAAATTTAGCGTGGCTTAATGTGATCGACGGTGTAAATGTTTACATTTAAATGATTTGGACTCAAAGGACTCAAAGATCCCATCAAACGGCATTTTGCAGTTTAGTTTAGACTCTCAGCTTTACTTGATAAATGTTTGGTCAATGCAACCTTCTTGAGTAAAACTCATCATTCCTATTGGCTCTTAGTACCATATATTTACATACTGGGCATGTCTCTTCACCGTCTGTCTGTCGTCTCGAGGTTAGTACGAGATACTCGATTTACTTAAGTGTAAATTAGTTATTGAACTCAAAACATTTGAGGTAATCAGTTTCCTCAAATCTTCTGAGTTGACTTAACTCACCAGGTTTTACAGTGTTTAAAGGTTCCTCTCTCTTTGGGCTGCACTTTAACCGTAAAGGAACCTTAGCTGGCATCACATTCAGTACAGTCTACAGAACCATCATATGTCAGAAATTTTACTGCGCTGTACACGTTCTGTCTGTTTACTCGCAGTCTCTCGTAGGCGCTCTGTATTTCTAACACACAAAGGATAAAACTGCTTACAATTTTGTACAAAATGCACTCAGATAAAAAGAGTCGATTTAGAGCTGATTTATGCTTCTCTCATTCACCTAATACTGATGTGGGATAAGCACAGCAAAAAACCTACAGAAATCAAGTGTCTCTGTTGGCTCCTCATGGTATTGTGATGTGTTTCGGCTTTTCTAATGGGTAGATATCACAAATGTAAAGGATTCTAATGGTTTAACAGGTGACCAGTGGCTGATTCTAAATGCATTGGATGGTTTCCTAACAAGATCTAAGGGTGTTCTACAGGAAACTAGTGGTCTCTATTGGAAACTATTAAACCAATTGGCATTAGAAAGCAAAACTCCTACTAATAAGACCAATTTAGAATAAAATGAGCTTTCGCTCTAAATTGTGCTAATTAGATTTAGAAATTTAGAAATATGTGTCGTTCTTCTGTTCCTTTGCTGGAACGTGTAGATAATTGTAACTCTGTAAATCTGTAAAACTGGATTGTTTCTCTACATTCGCCTTTTTCATTGTCAGAATACGCAAGAAAAGTTTCAAATAATTGTAACTCGTGTGGCTGAGTTTTCATTTCCATTTAGTTTTTCATTTTAGTTTTTGATTTCAGTTCTGTTTCAGTTATTTTTTTAATGAAACGTTTTATTGAGCATGCACAGTCAAAAGTTGACAATGTTAAGCAGTGGTTTCAGTTTAAAGGGTGCTTTAAAATTAAAATAATTAACCATTTTAGTTTTTGCTTTTGTTTTCTGAAAAGTAGGTTTTGGTTTAGTTTTTATTTCAGTTTTAGTTTTAATTTTTAGTGTTATGATGGACGCCGATGGAACATTTCTGTATAATTCACTTGTCGAGATGTAAACAGAGTCATTCAGAGTGGTTTGGTGTGAAATGGTTTAGATGTCTTTACAGTGGTGGTGATAGGAACCAGGGGTCACCATGACTACAACACAAATATAGACATTTTATTTACTATCCAAACCCACCAGTGAACCTACAAAAAAGTTTTCTTTGGGGACTAATTTGCCAGCATGTAACTCTCTACCACAAATGGATTAAAAAAGGTCTTTTTGGTCTAAAATCTTATATCAAAGTGATGTAAAACAGAGTCTCAGACATCAGGCAATGTATTTGTAACCATCTGATGTAACAACTTTCTGTGTGGGAGCTTTTAGAGGTGGACGTCTGGTTCCTATCACCTCCACTGTGAACAGTTCTGATCTATTTGCATCTTAACCAAGTTTAGCCATGCAAATACAAACATTAAACAACTCTACAATTATATTATTACTGGAACTTAGTTTATGTATTAAGTCTCATAAAGAACATTTTTTCTTTTGTTCTATTCAAATATACACTACATGGACAAAAGTATTGGGACACCTACAGGAGCTTTTATGAATCCCATTCTAAATCCATAGGCTTTAATATGGAGTTGGTCCCCCTTTGCAGCTCTAACAGCTTCCACTCTTCTGGGAAGCTTCCTACAAGATGTTGGAGAGAGTCTGTGGGAATTTCTGCCCATTCATCCAGAAGAGCATTTGTGAGGTCAGACACTGATGTTGGACGAGAGGGCCTGGCTCACAATCTCTGTTCTAGCTCATCCCAAAGGTGTTTGATGGGGTTGAGGTCAGGGCTCTGTGAGGGCCAGTCAAGTTCTTCCACACCAAACTCACCCAGCCAGGAATTTATGGGCCTTGCTTTGTGCACTGAGCTCTTCAGAACCAGATGTGTGTAAAGGCAGACTGCATGGCTAGGTGCTTAATCTTATATATCTATGGCAATGGAACTGAATAAAAACACCTGAATTCAATGATTAAGAGGTGTGTCCCAATACTTCTGTCCATACAGTGTACATGTGTTCCTATGACAGCAACAATAAGTGAAGACCCAACCATATTTAGTTTGCTGGAAGATTAATCAACTCGACAGTATATTTAAGGTGCACAGGCATTGACACTGTGACCTTTGACCTGTCCAGGTCGGGCTAGCCTTGAACAGTTTGTAAGCCCTTTTTAGCTCAGGTTAGCATGTTGCATGGAAAATGCGGCGAGTTGCTGCATGTGCGTCTCTGTTTGGCACTGCATCAAAGACCACTGCTGTCAGCTCTATCAGTAAGGCGAGAATAGCTTGGGTAGCCCACTTCGCGTTACCTAGCAACCCAGAACACACTACGTGCTCGCGCTGCACACTACACACTCCATCCCGCTAATAATGGAATACCAGCTAAAGCCGTGCAATTAAGTGGTATGCCACTTGTGTATGTTCCTTGGGGAACAATGCGGCTGAATAGTGCTGGTACTGGTTGTTAAGGGATATGCTGGCATGGCAAACATCCCTAAATGATCAGTAATTAGCCCGGGCTGCGTCTGACGCACATACATACGAAAGAACTTGACTCATGAAAGGTCACTGATAAATATAGTGGGGTTCGGACAATGAGCTGATAGCTTTAAAGACCTGAAGAAGTCCGACAGGGTATATTTCCAGCAGCTGTAGGAGTTAATAATGGTATTGTCTGCTCTGTGTTCCATATCATGAATGGCGTGAATGTGAAGGCTAGCCGTAGCACTGACAGATGGGAGATCCCATGTCAAGACTGTTATATAAGCGCACACTTATAGACTTGCTATGTGCTTTCCACCATAAAGCTGTCACTGTCTACTGACAGACAATTGACCCCTGTGTGCTCCGCCCACAAATGCATTCTTTCGCAGGTGCTAGCTTGGACAAGCTACGTTAGCAAACATTACATTCAACCTAATGACTTTGGGTTGGAGTTTGGAGTCGCCCTGTAAAGCTTCAAGTGTAGAATTGTATGTTGGTGAGCTGGATTATGCTAGCTAAACAAAACTAGGCAGGCTGGAAGCCATGCTAATGCTAGCTTGATTGTGTGACTGGTATCCTAACAGTAAAACCTTTCACCCCCATACACAATAAATATAATTTGAATTATACAACAGCTCGTTCCGGCCACGCAAGCTGATTGGTTGAGAAGCGTTTCACAAAGACTGTATCACTCCTCTGAGAAGCCATTGCTAAGCAACGACTTTGACAGCTGTAGGAGACGCTCAAGCCATTTGAACGTTTTTACTTCTTACTTTGCCACAAACAGAAAATGGATACTTTTAAGATCACATTTGACCGACAGCCGATTTGGTCAGACTCTGAAGATGAGACGACACTAAATTCCCAAACTGTCATCACCACTGAGCAGCTTTTCAGTCGGCAGCTGTGACAGAAGAACAGCTAAACAACCTGGAATCAGCCAGAAATTAACCCAATACCATTCGCCAAACTAAATGGGCTGTAAGATGCTTTACAGACTGGCTGGAACAAAACAACATTAATACTGATCTGGCAAAAAATGAACAAAACTGAGCTGAACTTGATATTGTGGTAGTTTTATGGCTCAGTCCGTCCTTCAAAAGGCGAGGCTTACAGCAGACTGTGTAGCGAGTGAGCGGAGCTCATTACTCTGACGTAGCAACAAGCTGCTTGTTAAGGAACTATAATTTGGCGGAAGGAACTGCGAACATTTAAACATCTTAAATTTACCAAATTATCTATTTCTTACTTTCTTTATTTAACTGTTGTATAAAAGCAGTAGAACACTCAAGGTCGTGTGTTATCGCCAATAACACTCTCCCTCTCATGTTCTATTGCTTAAATGAGTAATGTACTCTTAATGGAAATATTTTAGATGGGGAGTTTTTACAATATTCTGCTTGCTGACCTCACATGACATCCCAGATAGTAAGAAGATGCCACTGCTGATGGCAAAGCTGGCAGCCGACTGGCTTTTAGCTTAGCATTTCCTGGGCGGCCCACTGGTGGGTTACAATTTTCATAGCTTGTTTTGTCCAGTTTACTTATTTTCCCTTCATTTTTTCGTTCTTTATTCTTAGTAAATTAGTTTATTAAATCATTTTAACAGTAATATCTTAAAGCTGTTTATATAGCTGTAACCAATCTAGCAACATTTTCTACTAAATCATTTCATATAAGGCCTAGTCTATTTGTCTTGTGTAGTCTGTGTGCTGATAATATCTGTTTATGAAGGTTAAAAACCAGTTACACCTGCTATGCAGGACAATAATAGTTTGCATGTAAAGTCAAGTCTGAGGTTGGACTAGCAGTGGCAAACAGTCAGCGGGGTGCTGATCTTATCAAGCCAGTGGACCGATATATGCTCGCTATCTGGGAAGACACGTCAGCAAACATCACATTCAACCTGATGACTTTAGAGTTTAGAGTCGCTATGTAAAGCTTCAACAGAACAACTGTGTGACAGTGAGCTGGATTATGCTAGCTAATCAAAAACTAGCTGCTAATGCTAATTTGATGGCCTGACTGGTACATCTTTTTTATCCTAATGAATGCATACACAATAAATATACTTTAAAACTAATAATGTACTCTAAATTGAAATAATTGGATGGGGAGTTTTGTCAATATTCTGCTTGTTAATGTAGCAAGACTATGAAAGAAACTAGCTGGTGGAGCATGGATAGATCAAATAGTGTTGGAACAGTTCACAGTTTTGGTGAAATAAAAACCAAAGACAATCATACTGGTTTTTGATTTTTAATATTTTCATAATTCTGAAAGCCGTGTATTATTAGCATGTCCTAAAACAGTGCTAGTGGAAGTAAATAGCTATAATGTGAACAGTAAACAGCAGTAGAGCTTTAGAAAACTTCATATTTATTTACATTTTTCATGATTTTTTGGAACATGAAAAAGCACATTCAGCATATTTTAATAATACTGTGCTAATACTAAAACCAGTGATTTTGATTTTCGGCATTGTGATAGGAAATATCCACACCCTCCCATCTCTACAGACTCTGAAAGTGTTTGGGATCCACAGATCCAGTTTAAACTCAGCACACATTGTGTTTTGTTATCAGGACCCCATGCAGGAGCTGGACGAGCTGTGCTATCTCACGTCCCAGTCCATGACATCAATGGTCACCTCAGAACACTTCAAAGTGCTGAAGAAGCTGGGAGAGGGGTCATACGGCAAGGTCATGCTGGCCGTGCACAGAAAGAGAGGTGAGTGTCGCGTAAGAAAATCAAGCGCCGTTAATCTCTGTGATCCTGGCTGTGGAATGTAAAGACAGTACAGACGCAAGATTAGCCTGTGCTTCTAGCACCTGTACTAGAAATGCACAGTTAAATGCACTCAGGTATAGAGGTGCAAACCTCTGACCTCACTATGATTTGATTAGATGCCAACTCTTTAGGAAATGATCAATTTTAACACAATTTTATCGATTCTGAGGACTTTTTGACGGAGCAACTGGTATATGCTGGTCTGTTGCTGGTCTGTTGCTGGTTGACTAACGTGCTAACATCCAAAACACAACAGCTAGTTTAGCTGGTGACCAGCCATGTTTGTCTATGCTGGTTTTATATGGAATATAGTCAATAAAATCAATACACCAAGAATTTAGTGAGAATTTCTATATTTTATTAATTATATTGCTTTTTCAAAAAGTTCCTTAATCATCTGTCAATACTAAAGATGGTGACTTGAGTCGCATGTTTTGACTGACCTGCAGACAAAAATCTATTAGAAAAACAAGAAGGTGTATACTTCATTCAATATTGTTGTAATCAGCTATAATGGAATTAACATTTCAAAACGCAGATGAATTCACCACTTTCAGACTGATGCAAAAAGCTTGTCAAACAAATCCCAGCCCATATGTGACCTCTGACCTCTTCTCTAGGCACCCCTATGGCCCTGAAGTTTTTCCCCCGCCGCTCCACCACTCTCCTGGCTTTCCTGCGCGAATACAACCTCTCCCTGACGTTCTGCACCCATCCCTCCCTCACACGCGCTCTGGGAATCTTCTTCTCAACGCCGTCCCACTACATCTTCGCCCAGCAGGCCGCTCTCTACGGAGACCTGTACGACGTCATTGTGTCAGAGGTGAGATGGGTATGGATGTCGAAATGCACAGATGTATTGTGATACACTGATCTGAAGATGCATTAATGGACTGCATCAATTTTAGAGTATTTTGGAATACTAGAAGAAATTCCAGTCAATTTTAAATAAATATTTGTCTCATATTTAGGTCAATTTTTTGCATCGATTTTGGAATGTTAGGATTAGTGAATGTATGTGCTCTTTATTTTGGTCAAAATAAAATTCTCAGGCTATTTACATGTGTAAAAAAACCCTGAGCAAAAAGTTTGTTATATTGTTTTCATTGTCTATATTCCATTACTGCATAAATAACCTCCAGTTATTTTTGTGTATGAGGAGATTTTGTTTCACAAAAAAACTTCTAGAACATATCAAAATAACCAATATAAAATAACTATAACAAAATAACAAAATAACCATTCTATGGTGCAATTTGAGATTCCATGATGCATTGATATTGATGATTGTTACTTATAGAATCATAATCAAATTCAATAATTGTGAGGTCAGAGATATACGCCCTTATTTATTCACGCAAAAAGCTCATCTGAATGTTGTTTGTTTGCTTGCATGTCAAAGCATGTTCCTTTCAAGATACCTCAGCACAAGTTGGGATGATTTAGTCTCCATATGATATACCATATCATATATGTACAGTGTTGAAATTACATTAAGATGGACAGAGATGCTGTGCAGGTTCTTCATGGAACCAGGGGCTAAAGTTCCATTAGGCACGTCCCTGCTCTCATGTATACATTCACATATATGGTGCCACAACAACTGCGCCTGTCATCGGCTGAATGCAATCAGTGCACTCAGCACACTGCTGAGAAATAGGGGTGTAAAAATACACCTGATGGTGATGATTCAGCTGCATCGATTTTGGAATGTTAGATTCGATTTGTACAAAGATCAGGCCTAACACTATGACCACCTCCTTGTTTCTACGCTCATTGTCCATTTTATCAGCTCCACTTACTATATAGGTGCACTTTGTAGTTCTACAGTTACAGACTGTAGTCCATCTGTTTCTCTGCATACTTTGTTAGCCCCCTTTTACCCTGTTCTTCAGTGGTCAGGACCCCTATGGACCCTCACAGAGCAGGTATTATTTGGGTGGTGGATCATTCTCAGCACTGCAGTAACACTGACGTGGTGGTGGTGTGTTGGTGTGTGTTGTGCTGGTATGAGTTTTCAGACACAGCAGTGCTGCTGGAGTTTTTAAACACTGTGTCCACTCACTGTCCACTCTATTAGACACTCCTACCTCGTCAGTCCACCTTGTAGATGTAAAGTCAGAGATGATAGCTCATCTGCTGCTGCGCAGTTTGTGTTGGTCATCCTCTAGTCCTTCATCAGCGGTCACATAACGTTGCACACAGGACGCTGTTGGCCAGACAGTTTTGGTTGGTGGACTATTCTCAGTCCAGCAGTAGCAGTGCACCTCAGAGACTAGAGATTCAACTCATACTTGCATCCCAGCGACTCTGCAGAGTCTTGTCTCAGACTTAAATCTGAGAGACCAGAGACGTGACTCGGATTCACTCGATGCTTGGACTTGCACGGCAGACACTTGTCTTGGACTCTAAGTACCCCATAGACTCAAGATTCAACTTAACCCCATGACTCAACTCAGACTCACATCTTAGAGACTTGAGACTCAACTCGGACCCTCCCCAGAGAGTCATGACTTAACTCAGAATTGCACCTCAGAGATCTTCTTTACAGCTGTGCTGAGCTGGATAAGCCCCCAGCTGATGGACCAACAGTTTCCCCTTCTCAGCTACTGCATTAGCAAAGCCTTGGGTAACAGCTTCTTAAGGGGATCTTCACTCATAGTGAAGTTCCCGCACAGAGGTGAGCAGCAAGCAGGCAGTAGAACAATCCAAAAACCACAGGTGAAAAGCACACAGATTAACCCCTTAACTGGCCAGGACCCTTTATTACTTCTTTAATGAAATAGCTCAGCCAGTTTGCATTGAAGTCCCTGCAGTTTCTGAATAGTAAGCCTTAGTATGTAATAATCCTGGGATCTTAAGGGGTAAAAAAATGGAGCTAACAGGCAGCAAGAGAGTAATAAACATGCTCAAAACATGAAAACCCAGAGAGATGTAGGCTGAAACTGCAGGCTCAGAAACTATGAAAACAACATGAAAGGCTTTGCATACTGTAGTGAGTCTGGCTCGTATTAAATAGTCTTTTTAAAAGTCTCGAATGAAACCAGCTGCATCCTGGTATATTTTACGAATGGGTGGAACTCAGGCAGAGCCATCAGTCAGAAGCCCAGAAGTAATTATGATGGGCAAATGTAATTATGACTCATACCAACATAATCGACTCAGATTGTGGTGAAGCTGTGGTGACACTGCATGAGGTCAGAGATATCCACCCACCGAGAAGAGCAGCAAATGCAAAACACTGATTTTCCAACTTATCATCTTCTTTTTCTTTCTCTGTCTCTATTTGAATGCCCCTCTCTGTAGGTGGGGGTGACTGAGGAACAGGCTCAGAGTGTGATGTCCCAGTTAAGCGGTGCTGTGTCCCACCTGCACTCCCTGGGCTTTGTGCACCGGGACATCAAGCCCGAAAACGTGTTCCTGTATGACCGCAACTGCCGCTGGGTCAAGCTGGGAGATTTCGGCCTGGTACGAGCCCGGGGGGCGCAGGTGCGCCCTGTCTGGTACAACTCACCATTCTGTGTCCCAGAGGTAGAGCAGGCCAAGGAGGGGAAGAAAGGAAGCAAGGGAAAAGAAGAGGAAGAGGAGGAGGTAAGCAATATAGCAAAGATAAAAAAATCACAGTATTTTCACCTGAATTTAGTTTCTTTTATGCTGGAATGAACAAAAAGCAGCAGTGCCACATTTAACCCTTTGGCATGTGCCCATCCCCCGGGCCCTGATGACGGCCGTGAGAGCCGGCAGGAAGGCAGGGCCTGAACTCCGAGTGAGGACGAAGCTCCATGAGGACTGCGGAGAGAGGAGGACCGCGAGCCCGTTGTTCTGCTTCCCCGTCACGGCCCTTGCTCCGCATCTCGGTCGCACGTAAGGTGTAGTCTAGCGGCCTCAATACAGAACAGCAGCTGGGGCCTGGGCAGACTCGCATCCCACCTTCGTGCCTCTCATGGCCATCATTGTCCCCTCTCTGGTGGCTGACGTCCTCCTCCCGCTGCCACTCATGTCCCTCGCGGGGCTTTGTCCTTGCTCAGAGTTTGGGACACGCCCTCCTGCTGGCTCTTGCGGCCGTCATCAGGGCTTGGGGGATAGGCACATACCATAAACCCCTTTGCACAGTAGCTGTAAAATGCAACTACCACCTGTTTACTGAGGAGGAGGTCCCTCAGTTATACTATACATTTTTCTTTCTTCGGGGTTGTTTTTCATACATATTTTAATAAGAATATGTATGACTTTTAAAACAAGAACTGACCTGGATTTCCCACTTCATAGCCGAGCAAGCAAGTCAACATTCATAAAAGCATTTTTTTGTAGTGGTAATTGATGTCATGGTAGCTGCCTACTAGGCCCAGAAAGACCTCGTTGCTCACTGGCAGCTCAACAGAGTTACAATATTTCATACACAGATAGCCAAAGTTGATCATCTTTATAACTTGATAACAGAGTTATTTGGAAAGTGTCTCTTTTGATTATATTGACCACAAATATCTGAGGGGATTTGCTTTATAAACACAGAATGGCCACTAGGGGGCCTGCAGAAAGCATGTTGTGACATAATTTATCACAATAACATATCACCGTGTTGTCCACCACTAGGAGGAGATATGGATGTCAGTGGAACCAAGTCTGGATAGCTGGGCGTTGGGGATTCTCATATACTGCCTTCTAACTGGCTGCTTCCCCTGGGAGGAGAGCACCTCAGACGACCCTGGCTTCTGCAAGTTCAGAGACTGGTTCAACTACATGAAAGAGAAGGAGGACAAGGAAGGGGGACAGAACGGTTGGAGCCACGGCAACAAGAATGACAGGAGGGACGGCGGAAAGGAGGCAGAGGTGGCTGTGCCTTCACAGTTTGAATCTTTAGGCTCACTGGCCCTCACTTTGCTCAGGAAGCTTCTGAACCCTCTCCCATGGCTCCGGGCAGGGCCAGAGGAGATCCTGTCCTACCTCGGGGGAGCCTGGCTGCTGGAGACAGAGAGAGAGGAGAAAAGGAGAGAGAAAGAGGCGCAAGAGGAGGCCAAAAAGATACGAGAGGGAGGAAGAGGAGTGGAGGAGGAGAAAGGCAGGGAGGGGAGAAGGGAGAGATAGACAGGGGAAAGAAAGTAGGGCTGCACCATATGGACAGATTACTTGTATTACGATTATATTGCCATAGTGGAAAAAAGTAATAAAAAAAATAATAATAACATTGTTTTTACATCCAATCCGGTGCCGTTAAAAATCATCAATATAATTCGGACACACAGAAGCAACAAATAGTTTCCTGACGACCGAAACAAGTTTAAACATCTTTGAAAGAAAGTGGGTGAAAACACTTCATTCTTGTGACAGAGTTTGTTTATTTGCTTTTGTCATGACAGGGATTTTTCATCAAGCAGGTCAACATTTGTAAAAGTGTTTTTATTACAGTGTTCAGATGCTACTGCGTGCATTATGAGGTCATTTTTTTTTTCAATTCGATTCACTTTTCTCGCATAAAGTGGACCTCATTATTAAATTCAATAATATTTTAAAAATACTATAATGTGTGCAAGGTTCCCTGTGGCGCATGTTGCCTTGAGGCAACATTGTGCGACAAAGGGGAAAGAAATGATATATATAATGATACCCTGAAGTGGTGAGACCACTGTGTTGCTTCTAGGCAACAGACATATTTCTGCAAATTCTCATGACAAAAAAAATGACATTGAATGTTGAAAAAGAGATTTAAAAGTGTCCACTAAGGGACAGTATGATCACATATACATGCCTTTTATTGACTTACTCAGAGTGCTCCCTTTATTGTTAACGCTGTCACAGTGCTTTCATGTCAAGAAATCTGCCCGCAAAAACCTGAAAATCCCTCATTGCTCGCTAGCAGCTCAACATAGAGTCATACATGATGCCCTAGATAATCTTATAACATGGGGATTTTTTTTCCCCAATTTTCTCCCAAATTTAGTTGTATCCAATTCCACCTACTAGTTAGGACTCTCCCCAATCACACGATACCTCCAGCACCAGGAGGGCGAAGGCTAGCACAGGCTTCCTCCGAGACCTGTGAGGCTCCACCGCTTCTTTTCGAACTGCCGCTCACGCAACGTCATTACATCAGCTAACAGACGCCTGCACTGACTAGCATCACCCTGAGTGATGGGGGGAAATGAGGGGCCATCCTACCCACCCAGAGAGTGAGGCCAATTGTGCTCTCTTGGATTCCCGGCCATGGACGGCTGTAGCATCACCAGGGATCAAACTCACAATCTCCTGATTATAGGACTAATGCTTAGAGCCCGGAAAATTATTTCACGATAACGATTAATGATTAACAAATGATACAGTCATGTGCAAAAGGTTGGGCGCCCCTGGTCAAATGACATGTGCTGTTGACTTACTAAGTGAAGATAAATTCACTCGTCCTCTACAGAGGATATTTAACATGAAAATAAGTTATGGCACATTTTATAGTTTATGTTTTATTCAACAAATAAATAGAATATGCAGCAAAATACATATTTAAGGGTGTTTTCTGTAGAGAATGTGTTTACAAAACATAACTTGACTGTATATTGTGCAGCCCTACAAGAAAGAGAGAGGGACGGGAAAAGGTGGGAGGGGTAAAAAAGGAAAAGCTGCTGAAACCTTATTTTGTATCGAATAGTGTTGATATTTTTGAATACAGTGTATAAATGTTACTTTTGCAATAAAAATTAGACATGTTACTCATGTTGAGATATATAGAGATAAAAAATGATGCAATTATGATGTTTATGCAACCGAAGCACAGCATATCATGCATTTGTAGAAATATGTTATCTTTAATCTGTGTGTAGATCTGAAAATCAGAATGTATAACGTATACAGTGTTACGTAAAGAATTTTTTCGTGAAGCATTGTAAAGCTGTTGAGTATGAACAGTCCTGACTCATCAGAGTTGCCATCACTTAATCTGCATAACTGTAATTCAATATAGCCTTTACAAATACATGTGGTCTAAAAAAATAAATTCAACAAATTAAATTTTAGTGTGGATTAGAAGATTATTATCGGAATGTTCAATTTCTAAAGCTTAGAACTTTGGAATTTTTGGAATGTATAAAAAAATAAATTTTGTTATTTTGTTATTTTTGCTAATTCTTACTGAGTTTCAAATAATACATGGTTTTCAAATGATTTTAATAATACAATTTGATCTGTTTGAGTAGAACTATTCCACTGCAAACCAGCCGGCAAGCTAACTGTACATTTACACCTACAAAGAGGAAAATACGTGTATGATGGTATGAAGCTACTTGAAGTGGAGAGAAGATATGAGTTATACAACCTTGTTTCATATGCAAATCCATTAAGTGCAGTAAGCCTATGCTTCAGCACCAAGGCCCAATGAAATATTTACAATAACTACATCAGATTAAGCAATTATGAAGATGAAATGATAAAATATCCTTTTAGCATGGTTATATAGTCCTATCTATATTATTTAATGGATTTCTTATTGCACAATGAACCATAATCATGTTGTTTCATCACTGTTTTTATTGCACTGTGCCACTATTATATATCTACACTTTTTATTGTTATTATTATTACATTTATGTAGAAACACTAGAATATTTTGCTCAGGCAACATTATCTGTATAGACAAGCCATTTTCATAGTTGATCCAGACTAATTCTGTGTGATTTTCACAGTAAATGTTTGATGTACTCAGTGTAACTTCACTCTCGGTGTTGTTGGGTGTAACATTTTCTAATCAACTTGTTATACTATTAAAAATCAAGCAAAAAAGAGCTCAATGGACTAATTTGTTTATACACAAATCATCAAATATTAAATAAATCAAATAAGTAATTTTTGACCTAATTTAAAAATAATTTATACATTTGTTGATGTCAGAATGAAATCTTATATCTGCATTTTTGTCGTGTTTTAAATTTTTTTTACATCATTTAAAAATGCCAGCTGCTCTTTATACTGTGTGTAAATTTAATGATGAATGGACCGATAGAAACAGTCCAAAATTATTTTGAAAACTCGTTACATTTACTTCCACTCAAAGTAAAGAATGTTTCTTCTCCTGTAAAGTCATTTTACAGATATGAGGTTTTGTTCTGACAGCAACAATATACAATATAGTCTAATGGTCAGTTCACGGGGCACACTCTCCAACGTTTTGCACCTGTGCAAACTTGCAAAAAGTGGCTGTTTACTAAATAGGTGCAACAGTCTTATGTCGATCATATTATTGTTAAAATAATATTTAATTTTCGTTCCATTTTGTCAGTAACAAAACTATCATAACACTCCCAAATTTGACCAAGTGTTTCAGTAGTGACTGTTTCTGTGGTGGCAATTTTGAGTTCAAAAACACAGCCAGTACATGACCAGGAAACACAGCTTCGAACAGCTGTTCACACATGAAATCATCAGGTTTTTCATTAAAACACAAAATCGCACTTAATTGCAGAAAATGTGACAGTTTCTTAATGTTCCACACTGATTTTCTGACTTTGGGACTCATTTACTGCAGCTTCACTTCCTGCTCTAAAATGCAGGGGCGGGGCTAAAATAACGTTTTTTTATTTAAAAATTAAACTCATGACAAATCTAAATCTTCCAACTTCCCTTTAAAGGAATTAATCATATAATACATCATATAATCAAAATATATTTTAAAAAACAGTGAAGAAATATAAGCATTATTTTCAGAAGTGTAAATTTAGGGGTTAGTGTTTGGGACAGACACCTCCCAATAGAAAATACCCCCTGAATGATTTTGTATATACTTAGCTTATTACTGTCTCTAACAATGCCTTAAGTTTAAATAGATCCTAACATAATCCTTGTAAATATCTACAGGCTGAATACTTAATTTTTTTCTGTTTTGTTTTGTTTTTTTACTGTGGGACTGATAATTATAATGAGGCACCTAACCCCATTTACCATAAACAGACAGTAAATACTGACTGTGTTTTACGATGTTTCACCTGTGGTCATTTGCATAGAGGTTCTTAGTAAATAAGTACCTAAACTGGCGCAAAGTGTCTACAGACAGTCCATAAATAGCGCCGATCTTAGTAAATCTGCCCCAAAATGGGTGACATCTCATGTTGGTTACCTATGTTAGTCTGGACTAACTTTCATTTAGTCAACAAACGAGTTTCACAAAGCAGACATTTCTGTAAGCAACTGAGTAAACCAAATGCGTTGCATGCAACTTTGACATTTTTAATGGATCAGTGTAGCTGTCAAGTTGCACAGAAATTATGTTGCATGCAACTCACAACATGCAACCAGTTTCATGAAAGTTTCACCATGCATCAGCCTGCGGAGGATTTGTCTTTCGAGAAAACACTGTCTGCAGTTTAGAATCTGCACTTTCTAGAGAATTGCCCCGTTTATTTCAATGAGCTGTGAGTCCGAAATCCTTAGACTGAACTTCACTGTTTCACCCTGTGACAGTCCTGGCAATAACTGTGACGTAAAGCTTAACAAAGAATCTAAAGCATCGAACGTTTCAGAACGTCCAATACATTTATCAACCCTAATGCTCAATGTTATGAAAACACAGGTACCATGCTGAGGTGTCAGACTGGTGTTGATCAGAGATTTAGTGGCTCACTTCAGCCATGTGAAGCTGAGTCCAATTTTCCAGCCACTGCTCCACATCCAACAGCCAATTATTTAGGCCACACTAACCCCGTGGCCTTCCTCTCGGGCCAGTGCTTCTGTGGCGTAGTTTCTTTACCTCATTAACTTCGTGCTGAAACTTTATTTTCTTCCATCCTTTCTGCCCAATATCACTTCTTTTTGAGTGCACTTTAAATTTGTTTCTTTGGGTGTTGCTTCTGCAACCTGTCTCCGCTCCAGCAGGTCAGTAGCTCATTGTGAGGCCCATGTGAGCCTGCGTGCAGACGCTTTTATAAATAGCCACCGCTCCATCTATTTACACTGTCCCACACATCGGCACCTCTCACTGTCCCCCCCTGCACTCTCCCCCTACTGCTCCTCACTCGTACTCACTCCCTCACTCATTTACTCACTCGCTTCTACTCACTGCGGCTCATTTGTTCGGTCACTCTCTCCATCACGACGCCTGCGCCAGTCCTGCAAAGTGAAACACCACAGTGTGCCCTTCTCCTGTTCAGCACCGTCATCAACTGCTAACCACAAACCACACCTCACACACTCTCTTCTGAGTGTACCGTGACTAGCTGCTAGCAAGGCTAGCCTAGCTAGCGCATGACTAAAACACTTAGCTAGCTAATTAGACGACCATAACGTTACGTTCATGGTGCAGCTTCACTTCAAATCCAGTACTGAATGTTTTTCACTTTTTATTTCTCTGCGATTCAGTATTTTCACTTTATTTTCTGTTAATGTTTATTATGAGGCAGATTCGGTTGTGAGGCTGGGCTAGTTACACAAAGCTAACACTACAACATACAAGCCTGGTAGCTAACCTTAGCACTGAAGTGATTGAGAAATCAAAACGCATTTCCTTTCATAGCATAACTTTTTTTTCTGAGGGAAACACGGTATCAGAAGTTCTCGGAGCTGACTGAGTATTTCAAATGACATGAAGGATTCACTGATGTGGGAATTCTGGGCGGATGCCAATCAAATATTTCCTATGTACATATCTGCCATTGCTGACACTGACACTGAGTGCGTATACATGCACTCAATAATCCGATCATAATCTGATTTCTGCAGTTATACAATTATTCAAATGGTCATGTAAACAGCATACGCTGATCTGATTTTTAGGTAAAGTGACGCGATGTTTTAAAAAGTGATGAAGTTTGAGTTTAACATTACGTTTACGTCACGTCTTTCTTCTGTGAGTTTATTGGCTGGTTGCAAAGCAGAAATCTGATTACTGTCTGACTCATGTAGACCTGGAGTTTCCCCATTATCTGTTTATACTCAAGAGCATGTAAACACGTTGATCGGATTACTGACAAAATCTGATTTTCTGCATTTATCGGATTATTTAGTGCAAGTAAATGCACTTACTGATACATAATATAAAACATAGCAATACGCACTACATCTACCTGAACTAGCATTACAGAGAAATATAATATTTATTTCTGTTGGGATAAAATGCAGTAAAAGTGAATAAGTAAAGTAGCAAAGTAAATTTTCAGTTTGATTTTAAAATGTATAGGTATTTTTCCTTTTCTATTGATATTTGTTTTGGGCTACAAGGCTAGCTAAAAGAGCTAGCTAACAATAAATAATTTAGTTACAACCAACAAAGCTAGTTCAAATAGCTAACAGACATTAATTTAGTTACAAACTAAAAATCTAGTTCAAATAGCTAATTAACATTAATTTAGTTACAAACTACAAAGCTCGTTAAAGTAGCTAACTAACATTAATATAGTTACAAAGTACAAAGCTCATTAAAGTAGCTAACTAACATTAATTTAGTTATAAACTACA